TAATGTACATTGTGGGAAAATGCAAAAAATAATATGAGATAATATATCTAAAAAATCTTTAGATTTTTAGAGGAAAATGAATACATTTTCCTTGCAAATTTCATACTTCTTTGTGCTAGATGGCTTTATAATGCAAAAAAATATACTTGTGAACTTCTACTGGTAGTTCTATGCATTTTTAAGGAGGGCTTCAATCACTTTCACTTACCATGTTTTTCAAAGATTCAGTAAGATGTTGCTTAAAACCAGTTTCAAAGTCTGAGTTAGTGGCCTTTTAATTGTGTCAAATAGTTCATTATTAGAGAGGAAGCTTCCTTCTGTTTGCTGGCTTGGTTAATTTCCAACCAAATCCATAATTGCCTTAATCTTTACTTTTAAAACTTTTCTACTTTTTCTTGCTCATTTCCCCACAGCTTACATACTCACCTTTGATTGTGTTAGAGTGCTTCACAAAGGTTTCACTCAGCATGTTCTATCAGAAAGTCTTCTCTGGTTATCAAGAACTCTTGGAACACAGGGACCATGTATTAAACTCTAACAGAACAGCCAGTGCACGCAGTGTGTCTGGTACAAGCTGACCTTCAGTTCCCCTCATCCAAAGGTCATCTTTATGTAGAAAGTTTGCAAGAAGAGGGATTTTATCTTTCATTTCTCCCATTTGGCTATCTAGCATTCCTTTTCAGTGCCATGTACTCCCCCTGACACTGTCAGCCATGGTTTGACATCACTGGGTATTTCTTGGCACAGAAACGCATTATCTACAGGATGCTAGCACACAGATGGTGCCAGAGGGGAAACCTCCACTGTATGTACCTAGGACTCATCTCTCTTTCTTGTGAATAGCATCAAAGAAATTCAACTGTCCACAGAGGTTTTATATGGGGGCACCCCAGTTTTTAGCTTTTATCTTTGTAGACCATACCTGATGTCTCATTTTTATCTTTCCTTTTATTTTGGAAGGGAAATAACTTTCTGAGTCATTTAGTACTTCTGGTGTAATTTATCAGTTATTTAGTACTTCTGGTGTATTAAAATTTTTTAATCAAATGGGGCAATTGTTATTAATAATTAATTTTTATTAATTATTAACTATTAATCAACAATTAAATATTAATTAATAATTAATTTATAAATTACTATATTATACATTAATAATTAATTTATAACAATTGCCCCCGTTTGATTAAAACATATTATTGAGAGTTTCAGCAAACTGGAATATATTATATTTAAATTTCAAATGGTTGTGGTCAAGGGATTATGGGATTCATGTATATAACCTATATATTTATATATACACACATACACATTTACACACACATATAATAAAGGCACATTAATGTTGATTCTGGGACCAGTGAAACTTTAGACATTTTAAAATGTATATTTAGAGAATAAAGCCTTTCTTTCCTGTAAAGGGTTTGGACTGTGATTAGACTGAGGGAAAGATCAGATGTTGAGTTTTGCCTTCCTTGGACTCATTATTATTAGTATCTGAGTGTTTCACTGCCATCTAGCTGTGGAATATGGAAATATAGATATGTGGAATGAGTGGAGAGGCCCTGACACAATAGAAAGATTTGGCTTGTGATTCAGAAACCTGTACCTGGGTCATAGCAGCACTTCTAATTAGCTGCATGGTATAGGCAAGTTAATCTCTTCTATTGCTATGGATTTCTCTTTCTATTATAGGTAAAGTAAGTCTTTACCTATAATAGACTTTCTTATTATAAGATGGTAGTAGAGGGGAAATCTCTAACTGACACAATAGAAAGATTTGGCTTGTGATTCAGAAAGCTGTACCTTGGTCATAGCAGCACTTCTAACTAGCTGTACAGTATAGGCAAGTTAATCTCTCCATTGCTATGGATTTCTCTTATTATAAGATGGTAGTAGAGGGGAAAGCTCTAACTGTAGGTACCTATGACTATTCTCTCTTTCCAGCTGAATAGCGTCTAAGAAATTCAACTGTCCATAGAGGTTTTAAATGGGAGCACTCCAGTTTTTAACCTTTCTCTGTAGACCATATCTGATGTCTTATTTTTATCTTTCCTTTTATTTTTGAAGAGAGATGTGTAACTTTCTGAGTTATTTAGTACTTCTGGTATAATTTGTAAGTTATATGGTAAACTAAGTCTTTACCTATAAAAGACCTACTTATTATAGGAAAAGACTTACTTTACCTGTAATAGAAAGAAATTAAATATCAAATTTACATTTCTAATTGTTCTTTGATACTTAGTGTTTATTCAGTGAATAAATGGTGATTGATAGATTGGTATGAATTGGTTACTATTTAGAGTTAATTACACACAGTAATTTTGCTGAATAACATTAATAGTATAAGAGCAGTTTTTTCACTAGTAAACTAACAGTTGATTATATAGCATGATTTAAAGTTCATAAAGTACAAGCGCTTCTTAATATTTAAAAACTAGGTTAGATAAATATATTCTGAGCCTAATCAGAAGAATGAGCCAGTTTTTTTTGTTTGTTTGTTTGCTTGTTTGCTTTTTTCATATAACTTTTGCTTCCAGTAGGGACTTGTGATCTTGAACACCCACTGATGAATTTCACTTTAGTTTGAATTCCAAAAGTGAAGGTGGAGGAAAAATAGCTTGATTTTTACATGAAAAGAGGTTGTGGAGCACCAAATTTAATGGAGACAATTATCACTCTTTTAATTAAATATGGTGTGCTTGGCTTTTTAATTTTAACTTGCAAAGTAAGGAGGTAATCTTTAAAGTTCTTACTAGTTCTGATATTCTGGACATTTTCTTTGGGTTTTATAGTAATAACTTTCTACTGAGGATAGCCCATTTTGTATATTGTTTTTCTACTCATCATTACTTCTCTCACTATTCATAATAAATTCATGTATTTTCTCCTATGCAGAAATAATATATTTTTAATTGTTTTTCTTCTACTGGAAACTTCAGGGCCCTTTTAACCTCTATTGATATGGATTCTTCCATTAATATATTTGACAGAGAAAATCTTATTTCCAGAGTTTGGGTTGTCTTAGGAATTAGCTACTTAGGATTATGTTTGATAATAATTGCTATGATAATCATGATTAACCAGAACATCTAAGGTCAACTCATCAGTATAAAGCCTTTCTGTAAATGCTTTGGACAGTGATTACATTGAGGAAAAGATCAGTTGTAGTTTGAGTTTTGTCTTCTTTGGAGTCTTTATTATTAGTACCTGAGTGCTTCACTGCCACCTAGCTGTGCAGAGGTAGAAGAAAACTGCATCTGATTGCATGGCAGTAAACTATGTTTGTGTTTGTGGAGATGAGAAGAGAAACTATAACTTGATGAAAAGTTTATTGTCAATTTTATTCAGTACAATTTTCTGGATTTTTTATCCAGAAGGCCATGACAATAAATTTAAATATAGTTGTACAGAGTTCCAGTAGTGACACAATAAAATGCAAATACTCTGAATACTCACATGGGAAAATACTATAACATTCTTTGTTCAAGATGGAATATGTTACAATGTTTCTAGAGACATTTTGGCTCCTAAACCATTTCATTTAGCTCCCTGGATAGGTTTGCCAATAATCAATTAAAACAAAATCTGGAAAATCCAAATTTTGAGATGCATAAATTTTTTAAAAACTTAATTTTATTCCCAGCCACCCAAATCACTTCATTATATAGTTCTCAATATTGCCTCAAATGCTTATTTTCTCTTCAATTCACTATTTTCTTTTTTTTTTATTTTCAAGATGGGTCTTGCTCTGTCACCCAGGCTGGAGTACAGTATGTGATCTCTGCTCACTGCAATCTCCGCCTCCCAGGTTCAAGCAATTCTCCTGCCTCAGCCTTCCGAGTAGCTAGGATTACAGGCACCCACCACCACGCCAGGCTGATTTTTGTATTGTTTAGTAGAGACAGGGTTTTACCATCTTGGCCAGGCTGGTCTTGAACTCCTGATCCACCCTCCTCAGCCTCCCAAAGTGCTGGGATTACAAGCATGAGCCACCACACCTGGCCTCATTCACTATTTTCTAACCAAGGAGTTCAATGAACGTGGAGCCTTACAAAAACACCTGGCACCAAATGAAAGTAATATAGTACAGAACTATAGTTAAAATGAAAGAACAGATATATACCCTTGCTGCCAAAAAGAAGAGATAATATTAAAGACCTTATTTCGTGTATGTGTCTAATTTCTTCTCTGGGCTAGTTCTTATCTTGGGCTAGTTTGTGTTGGCTTCTTTTTTTTTTTTTTTTTTTTTGAGACGGAGTTTCGTTCTTGTTACCCAGGCTGGAGTGCAATGGTGTGATATCGGCTCACCGCAACCTCCGTCTCCTGGGTTCAGGCAATTCTCCTGCCTCAGCCTCCTGAGTAGCTGGGATTACAGGCACGCGCCACCATGCCCAGCTAATTTTTTGTATTTTTAGTAGAGACGGAGTTTCACCATGTTGACCAGGATGGTCTCGATCTCTTGACCTCGTGATCCACACGCCTCGGCCTCCCAAAGTGCTGGGATTACAGGCTTGAGCCACCGCGCCCGGCCTGTGTTGGCTTCTTATTCTAAGTAATAACTCCTTTGTTCTTGGACATATTCACAGAGTGGGGTGTTGCTACCAAGCAGAAGGAACCTGAGTCTGTTCTTTCCTTTCCATGGTAACCACTGGCATCAGAGCCTCTTGTCTGTTTATTGCCCACATCCTGACTGTATATTCTGATACCTCTTGATAGACTTGATTCTGACTCTTGCCTTTGTCTCCCCCACCGCATGTGGTTGTACTGCTTGATGAATATCTATAAATTTACTCTTCAATTCCTGCAGGGTCTTGGCAATCAAGAAAGTGACTGAAAATGTATCTTTGACGTTAGCTATCATTTGACTGCTCATAACTGTCACTTAATTGGCCACTGGCTGTATACTTGTCTTTCATTGGCACTGAATCCAGTTTGACCCTCGGCATCTCTTGATTGTCCATGACTTGATCCCTGTCTGGCAAAACTGTGCTGGATCTTACCTGCCCATGAAAAGTTGTATCTCCCATTTGCTGGCTAGATCCATGTATAGCTATTGTACTGAAATCTAACTTTTCATGCCTAGATCCTAATTGCTCATGAGTGTCTTTCTCCCAATCTTCTGAATGCCTTTTACTATCATTATGGGATTCCTGTTTTCGGTTTGAACTGGATTCTGAATGGCTATGAATTAATATGCATTGTCCGTGGCCAAATACAGGGTGGTCGCTTGATTGGCTATATGTACATCCATTCCTTCTGCCTGTGTTATATCCAGGACAAACATAGGTGTGGTTTGACTGTTTATGAGTTACTACTGAACATCCATGACTAGATTCCTGACTTCTAATTATAATAGGTCCAGACTGATACTGAGAATCAATTGATTTTTCATGACTTATCATTGACTGTTCATGAATTAAACCTTGTTTTCCTGTTCTTTTAGTTGCTTTGGATCCTATCAGGTCAGAACTAGAAAATAATTGTCAATGTCTAGACAGTTGCTTCTTTGCCGTACTATCAATGGACCATGCAGGCGGAGAAGTCTGGCTGCTATGTCTGCTGTCCCCAGAAGGCCCATACCCAGTGTGCCCATAGTAATATTCTGCAGATCCATAGCTGCCATGTTTCCAAGCTGGACTTGATCCATGCCTTTGTCTTTCACTACTATGTGACTGAAAATGACTTGTTCTGGTAGATCTGGAATCTGTCTGTGTGGATTGTCCATCACCAGAATAACCATGTCTAGTGCTATCTCCTGTCTGTCCATGAGTAGTTCCGTGTCTCCTGTGAACTGTGGATGCTGACTCTCCATGTTGAGATCCAGCTTGGCCGTGTGTGTGACCTGAATGTGTGTGTGAGGCCCCTGAGTGCACCTCAGTGTCACTGGACTC